GCTTCTCCCTCTCCCACTCCCCCTGCTTGTGTTCCCTCTCTAGCTGTCTCTCTCTCTCTGTCAAATAAATAAATAAAATCTTTAAAAAAAAAAATAGCCAACCTGATTCAGTTCCTACAAGTCAGCATTTTACATATATTATAGTATTATACATACATTATAGCAAGTAAGAGCCACAGCACCTCTGCAAGCGAGTGATGATATTGTTCCCATTTTATAGAGAGGAACACTGAGGTTGGAAAGTTTAAGTAACTTACTTAAAATTACAGAGGTAGTAAATAGTTGACCTGAGATTTTAGCAAAATCTTGTCTAACTCCAGAACCCATCCTCTTAACCTCCATGTTAATTTTATATGATAAATTCAAGTTTTCTATGGGGAAACTAATGATTTACATAGAATCACAGAATCATAGACCTTATTACTAGATTGTCATATTACCTAGTACCAGCCTCACCTAACCCAAAATTAATAAGAAATATTCAAATGGGGGTGAAATTTGGATGAATATGTTGGGACACACAAACCACCAAGTAGGTTAAATTTTCCTTGTAGCTATACAAGAGTATGTTTTGCCATATTTTGCTCCTTTTATTTATTTTTTTTAAAGATTCTATTTATTTATTTGACAGACAGAGACACAGCGAGAGAGGGAACACAAGCAGGAGGAGTGGGAGAGGGAGAAGCAGGCTTCCCATTAGCAGGGAGCCCGATGCGGGGCTTGATCCCAGGACCCTGGGATCATGACCTGAGCTGAAGGCAGACGCTTAACAACTGAGCCACCCAGGTGCCCCTATTTTACTCCTTTTAGACATATGTAAATTGTAACATCATAGTATGTCTTATTATAGTAACTTTAACGAAGTCCAACCCAAATTTTGCCTTTATCAGTAAACTTTGTTTGAGGTATGATCAACACTAATTTGAATAACATCTATGGAAGTATTTTACAGGGAATGTTCTAAATTTTGACTTTCTCTTTTCCTTTCAGTCTCTGTAATACATAGATTTGTTCCGAATACCATCAGAGGAACCTCTATGAATTTCTTGACACTGTTCAATGGATTTGGTTGTTTCATGGGGGCATTGCTGGTGGAGTTGGTATATCTCATCTCAGAAGGTAAAAATAGGTTCATGGTATATTTATATATATGTGTGTGTATATATATATGTATATATATATTGATTTGATGACTAGAGAATTGGGAGACAAAATCTTAAAAGAAGGGCTTTGCCAGTGTAGTCTTTTTTTAATTGATCCACTTTTGCAATTAAGATAGAATTAAGATAGGAAATAGACTCTTGCTGTATTCATTAATTTCTGGGAATTGTTTTTCTTTTGATAGGAGGAGGTAATTACAGAATGTCACTTCTCATGAGACCCTGTCTGCTGTCTTTCTTTAGGGTATTTTAAAACAAATCGTTCATTATATTCTTATTAGATCTTTCAGTAAGGTCATATTAACAATGCCTCATAGTTGGCATAGATAATCCTCAGAAAAGGTAAGTCCTGTGGAAATGTAGGAGAATGGGGTATCTGGATGATCTTTTTTCCCTGTGATTTTCCAGAAATCATGTCTATGCAATCAAAAAGAGACCGTGAATTGAATAGCAAATCGTCTTGGAAAATTTTTCCCATAGAAATTGATCAGGAGAAACCCCATCTGAAAAATTCACGCGCAACAAAAAAGTAGTACTCATACATGTGCTAACAGAAAAATTGGCAGATGACAATGATTAGATGTCATGGTGAAATGTCTTTGGCTGTATTTTAGATCTATAGGCTTTTTCCTTTATTTGTTCTAAGATGTTAACATGGCTTAACTTTTTTTTTTCTAAATTTACTTTTGCTTATTTTATGAAAACACTACAAGTTTATTCTCTACTTTCAAAGGTACTTACAGTTGTGCACTTAAAATAATGTAAGAGAGTGTTGGTTTGTGTTCTCCTGTAACAAATTTAATTTACTTACTTTCAAACTATGGAAAAATTAACTTCTATGAATGAGAAACTCTTTTTAACACTATCTTCATTCAAAAAATATTTATGGATGACCCACTCTGTTCCAGGCACAACACTGGACATTGGGGAATACCATGACAAGGAAATAAACACTCCCAAATCCTCACAAAAAAGTAAACTTCTGCTTTTTTTTTTTGAAAGATTTTATTTATTTGTCAGAGAGAGAGAGAGCACAAGCAGGGGGAGCAGTGGGGGAGAGGGAGAAGCAGACTCCCTGCTGAGCAGGGAGCCCGATGCAGGCCTCCATCCCAGAACCCTGAGAACATGACCTGAGCTGAAGGCAGACGCTTAACTGACTGAGCCACCAGGTGTCCTGAAAATGTGCTTTTAAAAATGTCTATAATCACACCACATTTGACATATTCTAGAAGAACTACGAAGTCAAATATTACTATCAGTTTATCTTTTATATAAATCTACATTTTCCCTATGTATGTTTGGGGAACGTATCCAGTTAGGCCAAATGTCACAAGACTGTGCTCACTTTAGTCATTAGCCACAAGTTCACAGGTTCCCCAGGACTGCTGTCACCTTTGATAAGCTGGCTATAAACGTGGAGGTCCCCACGGACCCGCTTCGGTTTGACAATTTGCTAGAATGACTCACAGAACTCAGGAAAGCGCAGTACTTATGATTACAGCTTAAAGGTAGCAAAAAACTACAAATCAAAACAAGATCTAAGAGGGTTCCAAAAGTAAACTTCTTTCATCCTCAGGGATGCAGTGGCCAACTGGCATACCAATGTGTGACAATACACAGACTATGGCCAACTAGGGAAGTTTACTTGAACTTCAGGGTGCAGAATTTTCAATGAGGTTTTATAATGTGCGCAGGATTAATTGAACCCTTGGCCATGTGATCGAACACAGTCTTCAGCCTCTTCCCTCCGGAGGTTGGGCTATCATATGGCTCAAAGCCTCAACCCGCTAATCACTTGCTTGGTCTTCCTGCCTGGCCAGCCCCTTCTGCAGTCATCTCATTAGTATAAACCATCAGGTGGGGCTGGAGAGGCCCACCATGAATAACAAAGACATTCCAATTACTCAGGAAACTCAAAGGGTTTAGCGTTTACCAAACAGGACCCAGGACAGAGGCCAGGCAAATTCTCTATTACACACAATTATTCTTGCAATCCATTTCATTGAAAACCTACATTTTGCTTGAGAATCTGAATAATATGGTAGGAACTGTTACTTACATTATTGCATTTATTGCAACAATCATATAAAGGCAATGTTATCCTTATTTTTGAAATGTAATAATTAAAACAGGAAAAAGAAAGCAAAGTGGTTGAGTCATCACAACGAGTATCTGACAGAGATCTGACCCTTCCGGTGTTTTGAAATCAACATCAACATTGCTTTTAATGCACCAAATAGCTATTAGGAGTCACCCAGTGTGAGGACCTTTTAATGACACTTGTTAGTTCTGAAAAACAACCTCCTCGGATGGGGGTCTGCATGTTGGATATTATTGATAATATTCTAGATATAATAAAAGATGGATAAACCAAAGTCTATATGATTTTGGCAGAGTTTACCAAAGACAAATGGCGAGGACATCTTAGCCACATGGATGTGAGTGGGGTGCTCTCTAACCTTGTATTCAAGAGAACACCATTTAAATTACCACTAATTATTTCAATTCGCTTATTCTTTTAAAGGTTTTTGTTGTTGCTGCTGTTCATGATAATACTGTGTTACATTAAATCCTCTCCCAATAAATTAGAATCTTTTTTTTAATTTAAATTCAATTAGCCAACATGTAGTACATCATTAGTTTCAGATGTAGAGTTCAATAATTCATCAGTTGCCTATAATACCCAGTGCTCAAAAAATATGGAATACTTCACAAATTTGCATGTCATCCTTAAGCTGGGGCCATGCTAATCTTCTCTGGATCGTTCCAATTTTAGTATATGTGCTGCCGAAGCAAACACCCAATAAATTAGAATCTTACAATTGGATGTTAATGGCAGAAGCCATCTAGTCTAACACTGTACCCAAAACTAGATGTACCAGCATCACCTAACACCCAGAAAAATTCTCTGCTTTGAACGTAACTTGTGTCTGCCCATCTGCTGATAACTATGTTCCATAGCATAAGTCTAATTTTCTATCCACATACCAACTTTCCAACATGTGAGAAATATTCAGAGAAACAGTGAGGTACAATGTTCAAATCCAGACAGTCTAGGTATGTGTTCTCAGTTTCTATGCCAATAACAACTAGCTTTGTGTCATCTGCAAACTTAGTAAGCAAGTTCCTAGACTTATTCCAGGTAATTGACAAAATTGGTGAATTGGACAGGACCAAAAATAGAGCCTTGTGGAAAGTTCCTAGAGAACTCACTCACTGCCAGTTATCAACTAATCTTCCCTTTTTGGATGTAATCAGCTCCCACTTCATCTAATTACCATCATTCAGCCCATGCACTTCTCCATCACTCCCTGAATGACGTCACAGGACACTTTGTCATATGTTTTTCTGGGAGAAGGATATATCTGCATTTGTGAAAATCCCTTTAGCCATCAGAATAGCATTCATCAAGAAAGGAAAGGACATTTATTTAGAGGATTTGGTTCTTGTGACCCTAACTTGGCTTATGTTACTAATTAGGGCCCCTAAGAAAGAGTGATCCTTTGTATACATGACATTCGGTAGGTCACCATCTTCCCTAAGACTGTTTCCTCTTATTTGAAAAAGGGAATGCTAGGGGTGCCTGGGTGGCTCAGCTGTAAACGTCTGCCGTCGGTTCAGGTCATGATCCCAGGGTCCTGGGATCGAGCCCCACATCAGGCTCCCCGCTCAGCGGGGAATCTGCTTCTCCCTCTCCCACTCCCCCTGCTTGTGTTCCCTCTCTCGCTGTGTCTCTCTCTGTCAAATAAATAAATAAAAAATCTTTTTTAAAAAAAGGGAATCCACTTCTCTCAGAGATGACGAGAGGATAAAATTAAATAATGCATTTGATCATTTTCATACCAGAGATTCTTTTAAATAGAAAATTAAGTCACATATTATAGTGGCCCCTTTGGTTAAAAACAAGAACAGTCTTTTAGTCAAAGAAACAGACCGATTTTTTTTTGACAGAACCAACCAGAGTGACACCAATACCGTAACTATGTACTTAAGCATCCCACACGCCTCCACATTCCATTTAGCATATAAGATATTTTAAAACTTTAAGGATTCATGTCAGCTGAGCATGTGTGTATGTGAGTGTGTGTGAGTGTTGGTGTATGATTGGGATAGACGATCGGCTCTCACAGTCTCCCAGTCTCCAAGCCGCATTAGTCATTTTTAGCACCATGATGGAGAATGGTGTGAATGCGGTAAATTCAAAAGATTTCTCAAAACTTCACTGTGCAGACAGATAACTGTTAGAGTGACATTTTCAGTACAAGTGAGAAAACTGATCCTTCTGGGATCTCTAACTCTGAGTGCTTTAAAGGAGAAGATACAAGACTAAACCCATCCTCCTACACTAATCATTTCAGGAACAGTTTCTCTAAAAGTAGCAATGCTAATATGAGAGAGTGAAGAAGTCAGTCAAACTGCTTATTTCCACTATATCCCATTAGCAACCAGATCAATTTTCTCACACTCATGGGTTCCAGCTTACCTTTTGACAAAAATAACAAAACAGAATTCAGTGGAAAGTGACATCTTAGTAATGGACGTGCAGGTGATTGAAAGATCCAAAGCAAAATGTCTAAGGGAAAAAGGATAATTGGGCAGAATCAAGAACTGAAGGAATACATCTTCTTGTCCCTGTTAGTCCTTCCTCCTAGAATTCAGGAAAGGAGCAAAGAATTTAGCTGTTTGATTCCCATCAAGATCATTTTAAATTAAAAATGTGATCTTTTACATTCTTCATTTGAATATCTGTGATTATTGAGACCACTGACAACCATGCCAGCATGAATCACCGAGTCGCTCTTGAAAGAGGAATTTACAGTTGCAGTAAACTTAGAAGAAAATATTTATGCACCTGAAAAGCTATTTAACCGGATTCCGTGGGTCCGTGCCTATTTTCTCAGAATATTTTCTTCAAATTCATACCAGTGCCTCAGGTTCAGCCTCATCTGGGTTTTGAGAGGAGATTTTTAGACCGAAGCAGGGAAAGTAGCCTGCTACCCCATCATTTACTTTTAGCCAGACCATACTCTATTTGCCTATCAACTGGTCTAATGCCAGTGTTTCTGGAGTTTACTTGATAGACCCCCACCAACTCTCGAAGGCAAATCCTGCTCATGGTCTTCAGCCAGAAATAGATTCAGAATCTTCCTTGTACAATGAGGTTATGAATCTCAGATATAATTTATTCTACCACAGCTTACCTTTTGATGAAAATGACAAAACAGAATTCAGTGGAAAGTGACATCTTAGTTATGGATGTGCGGGTGATTGAAAGATCCAAAGCAAAATGTCTTTGGCCCAACTTTGGCCCCACACAGACCCTTGGAGCTGCTCAGAGGCCTCAGGGTTCATAACAGTGCAAAGCAGAATTCAAAATACCCCTTAGACTATGGAAAGCAACTATCCACTGCTGTTGGCTCACAAGATGTAGAAAGGGCAGATTTTTGAGTCAGACAAACCTGAATTCAAATTCACCTCAGCCCTTAACAAGCTGTGAGATCTTGAGCACATTACTTAACTTTTCTGAGTCTCA